AGAAAACACTTAAAACTTAAGGATAACCATTCTTATTATTTTTTATTGTAAAAACCATCAGACTTTCAAATGAACTTTAAAACCTTTCAATATTATTTAATGAAAAAGTCTCATACTGTCATGTATAGGATATATCAACATTTACTACTCGTCTGTCATGTTTAATGAAAAACATCATTATTGTATGCTTGGAAAATCCTCAAATCCATTCTCTAGTGAGTATCTGCCATAATTTAAAGGGTATTTTCCCCACTCAAATAAAAAAATCTATGTAAAGCTACCATAGTTATATACCAAAGCAATACCTAGTTACATGCTTTACATAGTCCCATGAAAAAATTCAATTGCTCCTAATCCCTGATGCAAGGCACTTCAAAGCACCCGCACGAAAGGTCCATGTAAACAGTAGTACAGTACATCATTTAAATAACATAGATGACTTTTACACAGCTTGACCTAGACCCTAGGAAAAATCAAATCCATCATAGCTACAGCTAAAAAGCATGTTAAGATTCACAACAATTTTTTTCTCTTATTATTAAGAGAAGAACAAGCCACATAATCTCCTGGGGGATAAAAACCTCTTAAATATTTTATATTGAAAAAACAGCATGCTCCCTGGGTATGTATGAAATCTGAATATTCAAGAGTGATTAAGAGTAAATGCAAATGGCATTTCTGAATACCCAGCTGTAATAACTATCAGATCTAGTAGTCTAGACTATTGTAGCACCATGGAAAATGCATTAGAAAATCACAAAGGTACATAATTCAAACCAACCTTTCCATGAGGTTCACTTAGTCCACAGTAACAAACAGCAAATAGAAAAAATTTTTTAAATTATTGGCTTATTAGATTTACCTAGCAAGAAAAATTTCTGTATTATCTATTTTAGTACATCTCATGTACATAAAGCACCAGTTTAAATAAGATTATCCAACACCACCAGCATCTTGTTGCTCAGCCTTTAAGTTCATTTCTTATCACTTTCCATGTCACAGCCTTAAAGCCAAGGAGGATAAAATTGGAACAGTAATAAATACTGACAGAGAAATTCAATTCCTTCCCTATCAAATTTATGTGTCTCAAGTAAAACAGAGATGAGTAACGAAATGTAAAAGGTCTATGCATTCTCTGGAACCTACCATCCCAGAATAGTTAGCGCCCATTCGAGGATTAACACACAGGAGTGAGGAGGCCAAAGCCAGGGCCCAATGCTCTTAGGTAAGGTCAGGTTAGCTTCGCTACTGCAAGGCCATACTCTGCATTTCTACTACTAAGCAACTCTCACAAACACTCACCAATGGTAAAGCAA